CATTTAATTTTCTATCCTTAAATTCTTTTTAACTTTTTCTTTAAGTTTACAAATCTGAAGTTTTTTATCCTAACACTCTTATTGATATTTAATATAAGCAATAGTTTAATGGTGTTTTCTTCAAATAAGTGCATTTTTTCTTGAATTGAGGAGGTAAGTGAGACACTTCACCAGTGGATCAAGACAATTTACATTTAAAATAAGCCTAAATATATGCATTGTCTTATTTCAAGTGCATATTATCTAATTATCTTATTTTAAGAAACAAAAAGACCAATTACATCTGCAAATCCTCTTATTTACCTACTCAAATTAAGGATAAATACACTTAATCTAAGAAATTTTGACTTATTTCTAGATTGTTTTTGCAGTGAACCCTACTATTTAGACTATGATTTATTAAAAGGTTTTAAAGGACAACAGCTTTAAACTAAAAAATGCTGAATCAGGTCTGAATTTTTTATAAATTAAGGTTTCTTATAGTTTTGTTACAGATGTGCATCATCAGGATTTTAAAAAGTTTAAATGTTTGAGGACCAGAAAGGAGAACTGTTCTATGTAAATCATTTATTGGGACTAACAGTATGTTAACCTGATCCATCTAAAAGCACTTTGCAGTTATCATCTTTTAACTATTAAAACTTTGTCCCCAAGTCAAACACTCCACTGGTGGAGTAAAAAGCAGTTTATGAGCAGAGATCTGCAGGTGGACTCAAACTTACCGCTCCCCTTGCCGCCCTCCGCTCTTAGGGTTGACCAAGACCAGGAGAGGGTGAGTTCCTGGGAGAGGGGTGATCTGCAAGCAGGAAACACAAGCACTGATATTCTATGGGTCAAATAGTTGAGTAAGAGCATTTGGCACATTTTGGCACATTTGGAGAGGTTTGGAGACGCTGGTGACAGCAGAAGTTCAAAGCCCCACAGCTCTGGAAGTGTTGTAGCTAGAGGTGTCATGATCTTGGCGCTGATGGTTTGGTTTTTTCCTTTGCTCCTGGCTCCCCTGTCTAATTGGTTCTGCGGCTGATTATCGCCGATCATTTCCACCTGGTTCCTCTACTATTTAAGTTGTGTGTTTGCCTCCCATCAGCGCCAGGTTATTCGTGTGTTTTGGTGAGACGTTTCCTAACAATCTTTAGTCTGTTTTCCTGTTTATGACCAGTTTTCTGCCCTGTGGATCTCGAGTTTTGCCTTGTCCCTGTCTGCTCTGTTTGTTGCATCTGGTCTTGGATTCTACCGCCTTCTGAACCTGGAACTGTCTCCTGACTTCGGCCTTGGATTCCCCTTCTGGACTCTGTTGCTGCTCGGCGTCGGCTGCTCGCTCTCTAGGAACTCTTCGGGTGTTGCCCGCCGCAACTGCGGTCAAAGCTCCGCGAACGGACTGAACTTTGAATCAGGTCAGTGACTTTGCTTCAGCTCCACATCCAGTCACTGACCTGTATTCTCCTAACCCTGCAGAGATCCGCCCCGCAGCAGACGAGCAGCCCCACGCACCAGCTTGTTAATAAACGCTTTGAACTTTCCCACTGCCTGTCTCGCCTCGAATTCTGGGTCCAATATTCTGAGATCATTACAAGAGGTCTGAAATGTTCTGCATTTGTGGTTGACATGATGTAGAACAGATGTAATAAAATGAGACACGCCTGTTCTCAACCATTTCTTTATTACTACTGTTCAAAAAACACCTATTATTTTCTAGAAGAAAAGAAGCAACTTTGAGTCATGTTTGAACTGATGCAGCTTAGGATGTGTTTA